TCAACTGCTGCAGTGATTCCATTAGCAGGACTGCACATGTGTTGCTTGGAAATCTGGTTTGTTAAAAAGTATAACCCTAGCAAACATCCCCCAAGAAGTTGTTTTTTATACTTAGGGCGGTGGTTAAGTCTCTGCAGTGGTGGCTAGATGATGCTAACTTGTTCTGAGGGATCTAGTTTGGTTTCTGGGTTCTCCAGGTCACTGTGACAATGGATGCATTGCTATTGGGTTGGGATGCTGTATAGATTCTGCCCCCCAGGCCAGTCCAGGGATGAGGGGAAAACTCTACACTGGCTCAGTACATTACACAATAACCCAGAGAGGTAGGCTCTCTGGATTTCACAACAATAGCCACTAGACAGAACACACTAGCACCTCCTCAGAGATGCACACTTAATACTCAATGGTAGCGTGTAGCCAGTTAGGCTGCAAGATTTAGGCTTAGAATTCAGTTACAACAATACAGACAAGTTATAAACCAGAATAAGTTTATTCAGTCAGAGCTTTGCATAGACTAGAAGGATTTCAAAATAAGAAAACTTACGGCTCTTGGCCCTCCCTGAACATTAAAGAGATATGCATAGTTACCAGGATGCTCCATAGTCAAGAATGTCCAAGTATACAGTCCAATTAGATCCCAAGGGATCCTCAGCAGAAACTCCATCTTTGTGCAAGCATGCAGCCATGTGCTCAGCTCACAAAGGAGGTCTTTGTTCCACATGGGACAGCATTTCCCAGGTGCAATTTCTACAAGTAGAGAGAAAGCAGGAACAGACTGAGCTCCTGCCAAGGGACCAGACTATTATAGCCCAATCTAATCATGACTAGCCGTAGCCATGCAGCCAATCACGAGTAGACAGGGGATGTGGTCAATGGTTAGTTGCCATGGGAGCTTTGAGGGGATAGGATGGAAGTTTGGAAACCACGCCCGCAGTCACATGGCCCCCAAACTTCATTCTGTACGTGACTGTTTGCATGAAGCAGCAAAGCTAGGCTCCATCAGGTCTGGCTTTCCTCACTAGAGGTGTGAAGGAATGTGTTTTTATGGCATGGCAATTGAGCTTCTCTGACCAAATGCTCAAGCCATTTGGCTGGCAACAGGAAACATGGGATCAGAAAGACGTCCCAGGGGAAGGCATGAAACCTTTAGAAATCAATATTTCTATACAGATGCTCATTGCAAAGGTTTTTCGATACAGGGCCCATGGCCTTTAATGCAAAATGCTCCCCTTATTAATGTCCTGGAACTTTGTGCGATAAGATTTGCCCTTACCTCCTTTTCAGATATTTTCAGAGGCAAGAGGGTGCTGATCCAAATGGACAACACCACAGCAACTAACAAATAAGGAGGCATGGGTTCCCAGAAGGTTTGCTTAGAGTAATAACAGCTTTGGAAATACCTATGAGCATTGGAGCCCTTCCCAGTGCCATCCACATAGTAAGGACTTCAAATACAGAAGCAGTCAACCTGAACAGGGTCTAGCAAACAACTATGAATGGTTTTTCCAGCACAGATATATCAAGGTGATTTTTGACACCTGGGGGTATTCTCAGGTGGACCTGTTTGCCATATCCAAGTCCAAGAAAGCACCAGAATTCTGCTCCCTAGCGTGCCTCAATTCAAACTTCCCATTCCAGACACATTCCAGATCCCTTGGTCAGGCACACTCTTTTATGTGTCCCTCCCCCTTCCCTCTCCTAAACAAGGTTATAGGGAAGGTGGTGACTGATCAGATGGATTGTATCCTAGTAGCTCCCATCTGGCCCTGCCAGATCTGGTTCTCAGAGCTGTTACACCTAGCAGGTGCGGACTACATATTGTTCCTTCCTGCCCCAGGCCTACTGATGCATGGTCTGTTGTTGCATCACAATGTAGCATGGCTACACTTGACAACATGGAGCCATAGGGCGCTCCTTCTCCCAAGGGGTACAGGATATCTTGCTTCAAGACCATAAACCATCACTCAGATATTCTTAGGACCGGAGGTGGGATCGATTTGAGTCCTGGACGTCTTCTAGAGGTGAATGCCCTTTTACCTGCCCATTATTATCATCAGTTTTGGAATACCTGTTGCCATTAGTACAGGCTGGTTTAGCAGCATCTTCAGTGAAGACCCACCTAGTGGCCACTGCTGCTTTTCATGAGGATGTACAGGGGAATACTGGTTTTGCTCATAAATTGTCTCAGTGCTTTGAAAGGGCTGTCCAATGTTTTCCCTCCTACACCCCATATTGTCCCACAGTGGTCATTACCCTTAGTGTTAGCCAGACTGATGAAACCCGCCTTTGAGCCTCTAGCCTCCTGTTCCTCAGCTTTACTCTCTAGGAGTGTTTTTAGTGGCTGTTTCCCCAGCTCAAAGATTCAGTGAACTGGCAGCACTCAGGGTTGATCTGCTTTTGCTCAAGATATTCAGTGAATGGGTTGTATTATACCTGAGTCTAGACTTCCTGCCTAAGGTAGTTTCCAGTTCCAGAAAGCCAGTTTGGTGTAGTGGTTAAGTGCGTGGACTCTAATCTGGGAGAACCGGGTTTGGTTCCCCACTCCTCCACTTGCATCTGGCTGGATGACCTTGGGCAAGCCGTAACTCTGGCACAGCTGTTCTTGAAAAAGAGCAGTTTCTGTCAAGAGTTCTCTCAGCCCCACCTACCTCACAGGGTGTCTGTTGTGGGGAGGGGAAGGGAAAGGAGTTTATAAGCTGCTCTGAGACACCTTTTGGTAGTGAAGGGCGAGGTATAAATCCAATCTCCTCCTCTTCTTCTTCCACCTAGCACAGGAATTTGTCCTACTGGTATTTTCCCCTGCTCCAAGCTTGGAAATGGAAAAGGCCCTACATACCCTTGGCATTAGGAGGGCCCTATTTTACTATATAGGTAGACCCAAACCATTTTGTAAAAACAAAGCACTATTTATTTGTTATTGGGGCCCCAAGAAGGGCAAAGCTGCTTCAGCTCAGTCCATGTCCAGATGGGTAGTTGCTGCCATCCATTCCCACTACATGGCATCTGGAGAGCCATGTCCGCTCAATGTGAAAGCGTACTCCACACGAGCGCAGTGGTCATCTGCCACCTTTCATTGATGTTCCCCTGCTGGACATCTGCAAGGCGGCAACCTGGTCGACAGGGGACAGATTTGTGAAGCGCTTCTCTTTAGACCTTCAGGCGAGGAAAGAAGTGGATGTGGGCAAGGCTATTTTACAGGCTCTGTTCAAGTGAGAGGCTCACCCCACCTCCACTGGTAAGTAGCTCACTGTCCCACAAAGATGAAAACAGAGTTGCACTTACCTGTAACCGTTGTTCATCAATATCTTCTGTGCAGACACACATTCCCTCCTTCATGCCCCGCCGTGAGCTCTCACAGGGCCTCTTGTGCCATGGAAGGGGGCTCGTGGCAGCTTAGTGGGAACTGAGGAAAGGGGACACCTGCCGGCAGAGCACGTGATGCATTGGGTGGGAATCCCACCCATACACCGGTTCCAAAAGGGATGGGACATCCCCTCTTTGGAGTTTTTGAGCTAGAAAGAAAATGTTCCACAGCTGGCCTGCATAAGCGCAGTCCCAATGTGTGTCTGCACAGAAGACATTGATGAACAACAGTTACAGGTAAGTGTAACTCTCTTTTCATATATTCAGCCGCAAGTAACTGTGTGACCAGTTGTACATATATGGGTGAATTAGCCCTTAACATTTAACATTTTATTTAAATATAGATTGTGTTAGATACAGACAAATGCTTAAAATAGAATGTACATTCATTAAAAAGCATGAGTGCAGAAGAATTATCTCACTGTTGGGAAGCAACCAAGAAATGTTTTTGAACCACATCTATTATCCATTTTAATCGTTTTGGATTTTTTTCAAATGTAGACTGGTTCCCTTGCAGCATCTTCTGCCAGGAGAGTGGGAAGTATTCCAGAGAAATGTTCACTTAATAACGCTGCACTGTGGGTCCCAGATGGAGGCCTGTTTCCCTTAGATCTCAATTACAATCTGCTCCTGCTTTTGCTACAGACCAACAGTGAGAGCTTGAAAAGTTGGTGTACTGTAAATTCCTTAGTATTTATATTTTGCTGAAACTTCTCATTCCTTTCTTACTGAAGTGATGCCAGGATTAATCAGCAAAATTATTCAAATGGTTCCAGTACTCTTCCTGGGACCACAGTTGTTTTGTAAATCAGACTATGTATAAGTAAATGCTCACACATAATAAAAGATCTTGTTTTAAGATTCGATTTGTTTTGGTAAAATTTGGGTGTGGGGGCCCCTTTTAAAAGGGGCACCTTCCAATTAGTATCCACACCAGTGCTATCCCCAAATTTGCATGAAGAATCTAATTGTAATGAGGGATTCCTCTGGCAATCTCTGATGTTAATGGCCTTACATCATGCAGCAGCATTTCCAGTAGCTTCTGCATCACAGTTGTCATATGAGACTCAGCCCTTACATCAGTCCATAGTATGATGGGGAACTGAACTGTAGTGAGAGAGTATTCTTTCAGCATTTCTTTTGTATGATAAGAGTTCCAGAGGTCTTAAAAACTGGGGATTCTGTTACGGTAGGCCATTTACTAATTCATGATTTTTGTAACCCACTGATCATCATGAAATTGAAGGTAGCACAGGAGTAGTACGTGATATATTTACTCTTTAGTATTCTGTGCTAACCCCTGAAGTTACATTAGATGGGCTTTAGAGTTTGGCACATTATAGCTTGAAGTCAGCAGTGAATTTTGAACACTGTAAAGATGCATTTATTGTGTGTATGCAAAGATGGTTGATTTTTGAAGAGTCATCAGGCCACAAATTACCAGAAGCAGATTAGCTGTTTGAGGTCAGTACTGGAAATGTTTGTTCTGTGTTCTTCTTTAAATGCAGTTATTATGCATGACCTATTCTAGTCCTATATGATACTAGGATGGTAGGAGGTTTCAGATTCACACCCTCTCTTTTTGGTTCCATAATTGTATTTTCATAAATGTTTCTTTAAATTCTGCTTCATTTTAGGATGGAAATCCTTTTGATGCCACCGCAGTGTATCGTAATCTTACATATGAAGAGGTGTTACAAGAATTAGTGAAACATAAAGAACAACTTAAGAAGAAGGACACCCACATTCGCGAACTTGAGGACTACATTGACAATCTTCTTGTACGAGTAATGGAAGAAACTCCCAGTATTCTCCGAGTGCCATATGAACCTTCTCGACGTGCTGGCAAATTTTCCAAAAGCTGAGGTCCCTACCACCCCCCCATGGCATTTCTTTAGAAAGTAATGGGATGGACAGCTTATTGATACCTTAATTTCTATTGTCCCCTCATTTCTTCCTGAAAGACAGGTTGACTCTAAATATCAGCAAGTTTTGTCCAAACCTGTACATGAACTCCATAACATTTACAAAAATAAACTAAGTTCTATTTCCTATGAAATACTCCTTTTACATTAAACATTTACATGAGGATAATTTTTACATCATAGCTAACTTGTACACCACTGTACACATAGGATCCTATACACTTGAATATTTACTTTGCAGCTCAGTCAATCTCTTTGATACAGCATGCTGTCAATGTGGATGCGCACAAGCAGGTTGTAGTTTGCAACTCTAAACATAAAGAAAAATGTGATACTATGAGAGTTTATTATTAACATTTTATTAATATCCACCAAACCACACTTAATAAAGAGGAAGCTTCATACCATGTTTTTACAGTATGGATTGGTTCTAAAGTGGAATTCATTTGGAAGATTTAAATTGGTATTTCTAAATCTTGTCCTTAGGAATTTGGGCTTTCCAAATGGCACATAGAAAGTTCTTAAAATTGTCTAGAATATAGCAAACTGGGTATGTTGCATACAGGTACAGCATACCACTTATTTAAACATACAAGTATACATTAAGGTTGAGCAAGTGAAACAAAAGTAATACCTAATGTGTTAGATGTCTGCGTAAATTAAGATCGATACAGCTGACTGATGGTAACATTTTGAATAATCAGTTTGTGTCATCATATGCATATTTCTCTGGCTTTTGCGAAACTGAGACACAAAATTTAAATCGTATACTAGCTTTTTTGTGCCAGTATGGATGATTATTGCTTTAAATAAGTGGGTTTAAAAAAAAATCCTATACCCTTTGTCAGATATCAAATAGTGTCCTTTATTTACGTGTGATGGATGTATTTGGTTAAACACCTCATATTGAGTAATCCTTGTGTATAGTGTTGTGTCCACAGAGTGGCAAATGCAATTTCTAATGGGAAACCTGCTTCATACCAATCAAAATGTATAATATTGTAATTTGCATTATACAGAGTAGTGCATTATATAGAGTATTTGCTGGATGAAATATAGAATAAGTTTTCTTAAGGCAAGGATAGTGGAGTGTTGAAAAGTAGGATTCCTTTGTGCTAATGTTTGCAAAATGGGCAGTACACAAAAGGAGTTTTCTGAGAGAAAAATGAAGAAAAAAACTACCTTTCATCTTTTTACATAGAAAATTGCCCCTAGTTCAGGTAGTTCATAGATGTGTGCTTAAGCCCCTTCTGGCAGCCATGTTCCCTTTTGCAGAGGCAACCCTTCTAGAATACCAGAGACCTCTCCTGCACAAAGGAACACCAGCTTTTTGCCTGGCAGGACATGCAGACTCTGAAACAACAACAACAAAAGAACACAATATCTCAGGAGGTTTCTCTGTTATCTTCCTAGTAGCAGCAGAGAAATGGATGACGCAGCAAAAATTCACAGGCATTGTATAACTAAGGTCTTCAGGTTGAGTCTTGCATGAGGATAGCTACCAAAGAGCCCTGCAAGGAATCCCAGGTGTACTTGAAGTTTTGTACTATAGAAAGTAATCACTTGGGATCAGCTGCTCCTGCTGGTTGGCAGCCCCCCTCACAACAATCATTTTCTGTTAGCAAGCCCTCGTACAACACCCCTTGTTGCAGAGGGGGGACATTGCCACTACTTAATCTCTTTCATCCCAGCAATCCCTCAGCTTCAGTCCTCCCTACCTGCCCACATGCAGGTTTATAAGATGTCTGCAGTGGTGAAGAATAGCTTGTACTGGTTGGTTGGTTTTTCTGTAGTGCTCAAGGGAGAGGGGACTATGATTGGCTGCATATTCAGTCAACATCCTAAACTGTGCAGGGCTAGGGGACTCGGTAAGTATTTTTAAAATTATGCTGAGGTTATCACTGTTGTAATGTTATGCTGGCCCCAGGAGTGTGAGTGAGGCTGGAGGAGTTAAATCCTGGTCTTTCCCCAACATGTCCCCAGTTCTGCCCGTTTCTAAGCTGGCACTGGATTTATATCAGCTTGTCTGATGTGGCTTGGTGCCAACATATTTTCAGGATGCCCCTGTGTATAATTTTGTCCCCATCACAAGATGTCCATAGGCAGGGCTTAGAATGGTGCATTAGTCCAATTCCAAGTCTTCATTCTTTATTCTACTTTATGTAGGTGTCAAATGATACATTCTAATCTGTGTTGTAATTTTTTTGCTTTCTGCATTTGAAGTAGGTGTGTACCTTCAGTGTTTAAACCACATTGTATTTTTTTAAAAATGAAACATTCAAAGATTGCAAATGTTTCAGTGTACTAATGACTGCCGTCCATGATGATGATAAACTTGAGCTTGCACTATGTGCAAGTTCATCACACCTCTTCAATGAGTTACTCAAGTAAAATAGAGAGGAGCCTAAACCATAGAATGCTTAAGCTTATATTGTTAGAAATATTTATTCTCTATTACCTATAAAATGATACTTGACTCTTAATGTGAATGATCAAAGTACATAGTGGACTATACAAATTTTAATATCGAACAGAGGTAATAAGAACTTGATGATAGTGTATGTGGTGTGTTTAGGGATTGCATTAGTTGAAAAACTTGTGTTTACTCTCTTGACATGACCTCTTCTCTGATCTATAAATGAGCATCTTATTTCTGATACTTAATTGCAAACATCAGGAAGACAGAGTTGTACCTTAGAAAAGGTGTAGTTACTAAAATAGGCACAGTGCATTGTTACAAATGAGCATCTTATTTCTGATACTTAATTGCAAACATCAGGAAGACAGAGTTGTACCTTAGAAAAGGTGTAGTTACTAAAATAGGCACAGTGCATTGTTTACAGACAAATATATAATTTGAGTCTAAAGACAGCTATTTTGAAGTAAGTTTTATCTCTGGCCAGCTTCTACAAAGACTTGATACATCATCAGAGAGACGGTAGACAGGCACACAAGTACCATGTACAACAGTACACTTTTAGGAGCAACAACCAAGTCCCAGCTGTAGTTGAGATAAGAGCCTCTGTGTATGACAGTAGGGTTGCTATGCCTGCATCATTTCACGCACATACGGAGAAACTCCTCCTTGAGTACAACCTCAGTGGGATCACTCTCCAGTTTTAGAATGTTTTCAGACTCACTGAAACCACATGCAATATTCATTTTAGAATAAACGCTGCCTACTAGAGCATTGTATACTTACCTTCAGTGTAAAATAGCTTCTGTAGAGTAGTTTAGGAGCTGGAAAAATCCATCCTCTCAGGACCCACATCATTCATCCCCCAGATGGGTGATGCTGGGAATGTACACGTTTCACACATTCTTGACAGAGCTTTCTTGTTAGCATGAAGGGCTTATCAGCAAACAGACATTTTGAAATGTTCCTTTTGAAGCAGCACCACCTACCAGCAGAATATTTAGTACTTTTTGTAAAGCACACGAAGTCATGTTTAGGGTTGTAAATATCAAGTGAAAAGTTATTGCCATCAAAGAGAATGTTGAATATTTATGTTACTTTTGCTGTTGTGTTTTTATGTTGAGCTTGATTGCCACTTACCAATGAATGTAGAATTATCCATAGATGAAGCTTAGCTACATCTAATGTCAGCTGTAAATCAAGGGCTATTTGTAATGGTCCAGCTATGACAGTGTTGCCTTGTATTTGAAGGTTTTATGAATGCGTCCACTTTCTCCATTGAACACAGTAATGATCAGTGTGGTCTCTTCCCGCCCCCAATCTCATGATCTTTGCTCAGTTAAAATATTTTTTTAAAGTATATTATCTTTACTGCTGCACTAAAGTATTATTTACAACTATGTATTTTAAAGATTAGCATAGATTAAATTTCCCCAGAAATGGAACCCCTAGCACCCCTGACTGTTGTAGAAATAGTACATGAATTTGTATGTGTTTTAAAATATGCTTGATATACGCCCACCTTGCTCTCTCAAAAGCGACTGATGTCTGATTTACAGAACTGCTCCATTAAAAGGGCTTCTAATTCTGTTAAAATCATTTATTTCAGGTATTCAAAGGGCTGATTTCCAGAAGTGCAAGAAGCATGTTGGTGCAGTAACATGGCCCACACTTCTGAATCCCCACTCTGTGTATCCAAAGTGATTCTAAATGTAGTAACAGTTTACTGGCAGTATTGACTATACATCAGTGTTGCTCTTTTAAGTGGTTTAGGGTTTTTCCCCAAAGGTTTTCAGTGTCATTTCTGCCACGTAATGGTCAAAGCTACACATTCTACTAGTATTCTGTGACGGACAGTGCAATGTTAATTTTCAGTGGGCTTAGAAGGGTGTAATTGCTTAGGCGTCTCCTTTAACCTTACCAAGCACCCTTTAGAGGGTATGGTCTGCGTGAAGGCTGTAGTGGTGGGGTAGAGATGGGGTTTACTCCCTCCCCCCACAGTATTTCTGTAATATTTAGAGAACAGACACACACACCCCAAGCTGTCACCTGTTAGGGGGAGAAGACAGGTATGATACAGGAATCTTCTTCTCGCCCTTACTGGAGCTATAAGCAGCTTGGGGCACAGTCAGTTTCTATCAGACAAACAATCTGTACAGAAGGAGGAGGTAAACTCTTCCTATGCCAACACTGCAGCTATAGTTCAAGTGCCATTCCAAGAGCTACAAAACTGGGATTTCTGATTATGAATCTAATGTGTAATTTGTTCCTAACCATGCCGGAAGCTTTGTTGGCCCTCGTTTGAAATTTTCAAATATGCCATTTCAATCTTACACATGATGCAACTACTTCCTTCAGCTTAGATATTTCCACATTGGTATATTTATTTTGGTACAATATAATGCTGTAGAATCATAGCAAGTCTACAAAAGATATGAGCATGTCTTGGCAAATGAGGGTTTATTTGTTTTTTGTGCAATGATTGATCAAGTGTGTACTTTTTTGCCCATGGGAAGTCACATGTTATAGACCTATGTGGCATCTATATGTGTAGAATGTTGAAAAGCATGTCATGTCATTTGGGGTTGCATTTGTAGTCCTAAACATTTCTTACTTGATCAAATCTGTAATCTTAATTTTAGATTTTCCCCAGTTGTTGTTGCATGTCAGACACAATAAAATGCCATTGTGCACTCCAGTAACTTGTCTTGTTGTTTTAATACATTTAGCACAGCAGAATTCCAAATCTGCATTCATTAGATATAATATGATGGTCATCCTCTGAAAACTGTCCAGGAACTGTGGGACATGTGAACACCTGTCCAACATACTATCTCTGATCTCCTAAGTGAGCTGGCTTTTGCATTCTTTTCAGTGTCAGGAACAGCTCCAACCCCATAGTATAAATTTTTCCTATGTTTGAAATGCATTACAAGAAAACAAAGGTATAAATAT